TCTTTAGTCTGTTGGTTTTGCACCTGATGGATCTGAGCTTTTTTCCAGAGGGCAGGGTGTTGAAGAGGTGGTGGCTAGGATGGAGGTGGTGCTTTATAATTGCTCTGGAGAGACATCTTGAGCTGGCAATTAAGTCCAAGATGTAAATACCAACAGTTAACTTTAACCTGACCTGCTGGCTTGACATAATAGATGAGAACGTGCTTGTTGTTTGTTAGCTATGTGTTATGTGTTTTTCATTAGAACTAATTGCTATTGCTACTTGCTTGCCAACTTTAGCAGAACTGCAACATCATTTATCATTAATAATATTCTTTTTGTTACCTAGAAGCCAGTGTTTTCTCTCAACATTAAAGTTTTAGCTCACTATTTTAACACAAAACCTATCAAATGTCCAAATTGCCTCTAATTGTTTCAGGTTAACCACTGACTTTCTAGCTATGTTTAAATGCATTTTTTTTGTAATTGAAGTCTTTATTTGTAACAAAAATTTGTAACAAAATAAATCAATCTCAGCCAAAAACACATCCCCATGATTTGTCAAAACCCTCCATCCATCCATCCATCCATTTGCTTCCGCTTATCCTTTTCAGGGTCGCGGGGGGCGCTGGAGCCTATCCCAGCTGTCATAGGGCGGGATAGGCCATATCATCATTAATCCTAGCCAAGCATTTTCAGCATAAATGCATATTTTAGATCATATTTGGTAGTCACGGCCAAATGAAGCTTTCTAAAGCACTGAAACTTGTATCGAAAAAGCATTCATTACTGTTATGATCTACCCTGGCAGACGTGGAGAAAACAAAGCGTGGAACGTAACTTGATTTTAACAAACAGTGAGCAGTTTTATATAGCTGGTGGGAAAAGCACAAAACAAAGGGCAAAGCGAACCTATATGAAACTAAACTAACCTAAACTGGGTAAACTACCACAATCAGAATACTTTATTAATCCCTACGGAATTGGGGTTACAGCTTCTCCAAGACAGTAACAGTGACAGACTAATTAAATAATATTAATGTTCGATGTTTACAAAATTTAAGAGCATTAATATATACAAATCGATTAATTATAAACAGAGGTTGGCGTGGCTTGTACCGCTTGTTTTCACCTTCCTGTTCTGGTGATCCTCGGCTGCTTCTCCAGCCCGGTTGCCTGCCCCCGGCCTCCCCCTGACCGCCCCTCCTCAGAGCTCTCTGTATCGGGCCTATTAAGTAAGGACAGTTACTCTCTTCAGCTATTCCCTCCAGTCAATAATTCCTGCCCTCGTGTTAATTATTGTTCCTCCGTCTCCTTGCAGACCCTCCACGGTTCCTCCGTCCCTGTTGGTTCCCCTCTTTATTTCCCGCACCTGTCGACATCTTGCCCCTCACTATTTTCTATCCCAGCCTTCCACTCTTGTTGTGGCTCCTCGGGTTAAATAAAGTTTTTCTGAGCTGTTCACCAGTGAGTCTGCTTTTGAGTCCTTTCCCTGGGCAAACCGTCAGGTTATGACAATCTTGGACAACATCCGCCTCTCAGACGCCACCCTAAGGGGGTCCAGCTCCATCCCCACAACATTCCTGGCCTTGCGGATCAGTTTATTGAGTCTGTTGGCATCTGCAACCCTCAACCTGCTGCCCCAGCATGCAACAGCACAAAGGATAGCACTGACCACAGCAGACTCATAGAAAATCCTGAGCATAATCATAATGTTTAGAATTAGACATTAAAAAATCTGGACACAAGTAACATGGAAACGTGGCATTAAATACAACAGATGACCTTTTTTGTCTTATTGTGTTCTTGTTTGTATTTTAAACAAGAACACAATTAGTTTCATGCCTTTAAAAGGCAGGAAACTCAAAATGCTGGGTCAAAAGACCCAGTCCATGACAGAAGCTTTTCAACAGTCCTCTTTGGTGGCATCTGGTGGCCAAAAATATGAAGAGAAGCTTGACTCCCCACTTTAAAGAGTTCACAATTCTTTCTGATATTGGGCTACCATTGTGGTGCTTTGAATATGTTTTTTTTTTGGCTAAAAAAATGTTGTGTCTATTTGTTTAATTCCTCGCAGCGCTGATAATGATAAGTGGAAGAGACTGGATGGATGGATATCAATAAACTTTCCTTGTTTAAAGATGTGTCATGGCATGGTCTCCCTGTCCTTGTGACTTCTTGATGTTGGTAAATTTAACAGAT